CCCCCCCCCCTTATTTACGCCCGCTGTGCATGGTCTCCTCTCAAGTGTACCATACATGGCGCCACGAGCATGTTCGGAAAGACATTGGCGTACAGCATTCTCGAGGAATGATTCTCAATCGCTACATGTTTCCGCATTCTTCCTACTCACACGACGTTGCTGTGCAGTGTGTGCCGTTGGATGGGCATGTGGATCGGGATTATTGGGTTTTTCTCCCTTCCGCTCTCCCTGGGACTTGTCACGGACTTCAGGTCGACATCGACAGAAACTGAGACGGGTGTATCAGACACCGCCCCACTTGGTAACGGCCTGTTGGCACTTTGTGGCGCAGGCAACTGCTCGGGCCTAGGCCCAAGCACAATAGACGCTTCTGGCCTCAGCGGACAGTGGACTCGGCAGTTTCTGTGGTGCGAGGACGGAGCATAGAGTGCGAGGAGCTCGTGCGGCGGCTAGAAGACGAAGGTGGAGAGGAGAGCGTGATTTCTTGCGTCTTGGAAGTCGAGCAGAACGAGGGCACCGGAACGGATCGTCTCCGGTCGCTTTCATTGTAGGTGACCTCGTCCGCCTGTGCCCCGCTACCGCTTCCGCCGACCAACCTTCCGTGCCATTGCCTCGCATCGTTTCCTCACCGAGCGGTCCCGTTGCACCGGACGAACACTGCAGATTGTCGATTCAAACGGCACCGAGGAGGTTGGGCATCGCGAACGATACCATCGATGGTTTGTGGTGGACGATGAACGACGATTCGTCCTCCGTGAAGATCCGCTCGTCACCCAACGACGGAACCTACTTGAACGAATCCTGGCACAACGAAGACGTGCTCGCCTTCAGCGGCTTGACGACGGTGGAGACTGTTCCGCCGTCGACGACTCCGGTTTGCTTTTCGGGAGAGTGAGGGATAATTCGCAGCCGCCACAGGCATGCACTATCCTCTTGAAAGGGTTGGCGTCTTGTCCTGTTTGTCGGCGGTAGCGTTGAGGGCGCGACAACTTTCACCGATTGGTTGTTGTTTGAGGTACGCAATAGACCCCCGGCGGGATCATTGTCTCATGCCTCCGGGTCTGAAGCTGGTTGTCCTCTACACTAGAGGGGACATATATTCGCAACGCTGTATGAGGTAGGCACCATGCACACGGTGGCGTAGCTCTAACGAAACACTGGTCAATAGGTTGGGTGATTGAAGTGAGTTTTCGAATGAGGGTCCTTCAGCTGGTTGACCCAGACATACCTGTATGGTCTCGAGATCCCTTGTCAAACACCATGCTTACGAAAGCACGTTCCACGCCCTTTCGCACGTTCCCAGACACCGCAGGAGTACGAGGCATTCCGTGGGAACGAGCGTACGGGATTAAAACATCACATCCTCTCGGAAACCGCCACCCGTGAGATCTTGCGAAGCGGTTATCTCAACATCTTCTTCACCAACGGCATCACGGGCAATCCGTACCGAAGCGTACATAAGGTGGGTGAATCGAGTCTGTTGCTGGAAGACCGGTATGTAGCTGCCAGTGTGCAGTACCGATCCACACACAATCAGACCCGCGAACTTTGTGTGCGGTATGGGGCTTCACTGTGCGTACTATTCCATGCAGCGAAAAACGAATCGTTTCTGCCCTGCGCGCTCACTCTCCATTCGATCCGAACTCCATCCGACTACCCAGACTGATCGTGTGCACGTCGTTGGGACTGGAGAATTTTCCTGGGAGACCGAGGAAGAAATCACCACAGAGTTTTTCACCGAGCAGAAATGGGAGGGCGAAGACGCGCTCATCTTCATTGCCCTGGGCCTTGTTTTGGTTGGTGTCGTGATTGGCGCAATATGTGAACAGTGCCGTTGCGATGTCAAAAACCCTATGCACGTGGGCGCTTTCGCCATGGGAGGGTCGTTGGTGGGACGTGTCGATTGGTGTTGATCATGGCTAAAGGATCCATCTTCTAGCGACTAGCTCGCGCGGTGGTAAGTTAACCAAAGATGACCCTGAGGAAGCCATCGTAGCCGCCCAAGAATACAAGTACGGATCGTGGTTCCTCCTTCTGACGGTCATTGTAGGGGATGGGATATGTGCCCCCAGGTGTTGGTTCACCGCCCCTGTCAGGTAGAAACGGCGTTCGGCGTGAGGTGTTGATCCTTTATTTCTGTTTCGGGATATTTCCTCAATCACGTGCTACACGGCGGCGTCGGCAACCCACTGTGACCTGACCAGTACTAGAAATTGGATTATGTGAGCGGATGTACTCGAGAGCGGCCACAAAATGACTCTGGCAGCAGGCGGCATCTCGTGCATGATACCAACCGTTGTTGGGTGTTCCGAGGTGATAGGTGTTAGAGTATGCTTGGGCTGTAGCAGGCCTCCGGAGCGCTGATGCGCATGTGCTACTTGTTGGCCTGCCGTGCACGTGTTTAATGCCAATGGTGATCCGATCCTAGAACGGGACTAGATATACCATTGGGACGGAACCTTTCGCTATGTAGCATGCAAGACCAGGGTTGGATATATCATTCGGCGCAACGGTATTGGGCGCCTCCGCGCCTTGGGGGGAGACGGAAAACGAGGGGAGACGGAGGGATTCGTGTATATGTCATACTCTACAGCCTGTACTGTACTCAAGAGTCATTAATCCACGACATGTATCACGCTAGGTATCGGGCCACGTACGACGAGGCAACCAACAGTTAATGCCGCAGGAGTAAGAACTCAGGTCCGGAGGTCGAGACTCTCCCGCGATAAAGAACCATGCTGTTTCTGCATGCCTACGGAAACTGGCATTGCCGATGAACCTCTTGCACCGTTGTGATCTCCGGGCAAGACAGTGCTGATCACAGGGAGGGATGGCATCCCTGGAGGTGGACTCCGAGTTGGTGGTTCAATTATCAGCTACATGGACTCTGGCAACAGCTTTTGTTGAAAGAGCATGATGACTGTAGTCCAGTAATCGCCGTGCTTCTCAACAATACTCACGTCGACACGCGAGCTTCTTCTTCGCCGGCGTTGGTCGCTCTCCAGCCCATTCGCCCAGATTGCCAAACGCTATTGTCGGTTAGGTCAAAAGGCAGTTTGGCGTCGGCCTCACCGCGTGGGCGCGTCGCCGACTTTGGGAAATGCCGGTCTATTCGACAAAGTCCGGATAACTCGCGTTCCGCCTCTTGTTTGACGTCCAGGGTCAAGCAATATTCCCGCCCCCCCTCCTCGTCTCCGAAGCCGGCCACCTCTGCCCCCGCACGCAGCGGCAATTGCCGGCCTGCATCAAATAATTCAACTAAACCCGGCCATGTCCAGTTCTGCCTGTAGTTTGGCGAGAATCAAGGGACACGAAACAAAGCCACCTTTTCCATCGGACAGGTCACCCACCTCAACATTTGACAGCTATTGTTTCGAAATTGTTCTGGATTATCGGTGATTTTTACCCCTATCGGGTTGTCCTTGTAGAGTGAAACACAAACGGGCTTCAGATCGCTTCCCCGAGATACGTAGCGACCGTTTCCATGTCCTTGGCACCCCTCCCAGAGAGGTTGCCCAGAACAATCTTGTCTGGCGGTAGTCACTTGGCCAGCTGTTTCACAGCCAAGATTCACGTTTCGGGGTTCGGGGGCAGGGAACAGCGAAACGCCTTGGTTTTATCTCGTTTTGTGTTCTTAGCACATACAAGTGATGCTCCGAGTGGGCTCAGGAGGGCACAGTGATGGTGATGCGAGATGGCAAGAACAGCAGGCAACAGGACTAGCGCACAGCTGGCGGCCAGCTGCCGGTTGGGGTTGTGGCGGTTCTTAAGCTTAACAGCTCACACAGCTGGCTTTTTTCGACTTGAAGAACCCAGCGAACCTCATCTACCAAAAAAGAAACGTTTACAAATCCGCACGCAGTCTTAGCCGTGTGTCCAATTGTATACCGTGTACGACCAAAACATGATACCGCACTTGGCCTCTACGTGTCATCCACAACGAGTGTCTGGGTCGATTGTTTCTTGTCGAGGAATTTCCTGGCGGCTGTTTGGCCTCACATGTGGAACACGTGAGCTTGAGCAGCGAAATGGGAATAATCGACAGTCGAATGGGAGAGATGGTTGCCTACTTGCTTGGGCAAGGGAGACATAACCATCGAAGATGACATATTGAACCTGTCCTTGGAAGGTCGCAGAAATGGACCATTCGCTCCCGTACTTGAGCGCGGAATCGAGTCTATTCAACGCCAGCAAGGTTGAGTTGGATCCCAAAATTGACGATGCGAAGGGCTACGACAGTCAACATCTTCGTCGCCAGACGAATCACGCACAGCAACCGCCGCTGTCTGGTCAGGCATATTACCCAGCATCAACGCCAACATCGAAAACATCCGAGTGCTAAAACATGACTGAAGGGCAAACGACTGGCGTTGATTCTACATTCAGTTTGCCGATACCGTGGGCACCGCACCTATTTTGTGTCTGGGGGTTGACCGCGGCAACCATTCGGTGCGCGTGCTCAATTCCATTTCTAACCACAGGAATCGCCGCACACAAGAAACGGGGATTGGATCGGGGAGAGGTGCGGAACCCTCCGGCTTATTCCGGTTCTCGGAAAACCGTTTAGCGAAAACAACTAATAACCTCTCGGTGAAGAAAATGGTATGGGGTGCAAAATGTCGAGAAACCGTTAGTCAGCACAACACCCAGAACCTCGTCTCGAAAGAGATAAACCTCACCTGCATGGCGTGGTAGACCGCATGGGCCGGTGCACTAATTATTCCTTTGGTGCGTGCCAAGAGTTGGAGGGCCTCGATGGCGTGCGCATCGTCACCCGCGACCTATTCTGGCAAGACCGAAGCCGAGGACGGGAAGCACGAGGTATGCAAGAACAGCAAAAACAAAAAAGAGAAACGTGGTCCCGGAGCATGATCAGTTGATTTGGATGTTGGTCGCGAAGACCATCTCAAGAAAAAACTCACGAACTCTTCATCCAGCGCTCGGCATGGGTATCGTTCGAATCGAGATACTTGGACACCTATCGTGCCGTTGATAGTAGAACCCGGTTTGACTCTTGCACGAAGCGGACAAGGACATTCGACCCGACCTTTCTCCATCCCCACCAAACACTCAACACACGCGCCAATAGGTGGTGCTGTCTTATGTTTCGACTCCATCTACTGTAGCAGGGCAGTCGAAAGCAGCCGCCACGGCCAAGCGTGCCCTGGCTAGCTTTGAAACGTCCAGACAATTGGTGGGGCTCATTCGGGTACATGTTTTCCCCCCGGGAGGTGAAACGGTTCGGTTCATATCTTACCCGCACGCCCGCTATCCTTCCGCCACGACTGTTTCGGCCCCACCCCCGGGTAGTCGAGTCCCGCCGCAATAGAGTGCGTGCCTGATATTTGCCCATGTTCATCCTGAGCGAGTGAAAGAGCAAATTCAGAGGCTTCCATAAATCGCCAGATTCCTGAAAAGCCGGAGCCCCAGTCATCGATCAGTACTTCTCCTGGCTTGCTAAACCGTGCATGCCGTAATTTGAGCAGGTGGTGAATAGTTGTCGAATCGAGTGTATCCACTGTTGTACGTTGACTGGGCTCCATAGTTTGACATCTGAACGCCACCCTCAACGTTTTCCGTCGGGTGTCACCTGAAGAATGTACGTAAGAGTGCCGTGCAACACGCCCGGACAGCCTCTAGTAAGAGCGGCGGACCCTTCTCCAACGCCGGCGACGACGTAGTCAGGGAGTCTCAACGCCTGTTCGACCACCTGTTTGTTTGCCAGCGTCAGCGGTTGGTCGGTTGTTCAACTCGGGCCGGCCGGGATCACCAAAACTGGCCAAGGGCGATGCTGGGTGCGCATTCGGTTAGGACAACATTCATGCGGACACAATTTCGAGAAGGAAGCTTGAGCAAACCGAACGCCTCCTCATACGTACTTGTATCGCCCCGTTCTCGGCATTGAGGAAATGGAGAAAGCATGTCATTTTTCAACCATTGCTACTGGCTGCGTCCCCTAAAACAAAGGCTGCAAGGTGGAGCAGCGCGTCGGGAGGGAGGTATTCGGTGTTTGGGAGAATTGAACCGCTCAGAAATCGACCGATGCGCGTTCGTGAATGCAAATGCTCCCGTAAAAGCACGCTCCACGCCGTACAGCGAGACCGAAGGTACCCACATATCAACCCGAGTTGCCTCTCGGGCCGATTCCGTCACATTGGACAAGGCTGGTGCTGACAGTTCGTTCGCTGGAAAGATTTGCCAAGGACTCCCCAACGCTTCCATCGCCAGGGTTTATTGACAAGCATCGATGCAGATCTCAACGCGCCTCAACGAGAAGAGGTGACGCAGGGCAAAACAACGCCATGACAACATAGTCTCCATAAAAAACGCCAAAGGCTTGTACGACCATGAACTACTTCGTCACACACTCCCCACCAGATGCGCGACCACATCGTCGATCAATATTTCGTTTTTTTCAGGTGATTTCTCATACACCTGGTATGCTCTAGGAACACTGAAGAGCAAGCATGACTTATTGCAAAAACATTGTGCATTTTACTACTGTAGGTCGGGCGAAGATGAAGGATGACCAGCTGAAAATATGTTTCACTACATAGGTTGACCGCGACTGGATGCTGTGCACACCTGTGACAGAGCCTCCTCACCGACGATGGACTGGAATTCCCCACCATGGAAACGTCGTGAAGTGACTCGCGCACTACAAAGTGGCTCGCGCACTACACTGAAGGACGGGAAACACCCCCTCGTGACAAACTTACTTAACTTTCGCTTCCTGGCAATCTTGTGGGGTGGACAAAGACTTACTTGGTTCCGTTCTTCTTTCTCGCTACCATCACCCACTCTACGCTTACCGATACGCCTCCACAAGGGTTTCCGGAATTTAGCATCCGCCAAATGCCCCGATGTTTCCGCCAGGCAGCACAGCCTTCCCCGCTCCCTCTATCGGCATTCGGTACGCCTGCTTGCTGGGCGTCTTCGACTTGACGCTGGTGGCGATGGTGGTGGTGGCGGCGGCGGCGGCGGCGGCGACGACTCCGACCCGGAGACCTGAGATGTCCTTGCGAAGGTGCGCCGCGATCTCGCTGGCAGGAGCGTCGCTTGCCAACTGGTACCCCCACCAACACCGACGACCAAGAAGGGTTTTTGGACGAACAGCAGCAGGTCTAGCGCGGACTACAAACAATTCAAGTGGGTACGGGGCGTTGTACTCTCCACCCTGGCAGCCTGTGGGCTCGGCAGCCGAGTATGACGGTTCGGCGAGATCCCCCTGCGAGCAACGACTGCATCAACTGCTGGACGATACGCCCACCTTTCGGCGCAGCAAGGAAAAGGGCTTTGAGGGAACTTCCATTCAAGAACGAAGACGAAGGGAGAACGCCTCGGGGTACATTCGCGCACCTCCTTAGTCGACCGAGGTCATCCCTGCACGCACCTCATCGATGGCGTTCATGAAGGCCCACCCAACCACGACCCCATCGGCGATTCTGGCTACCGCTTGCACCTGCTCCGTTAAGCTGATGCCGAATCCGACGAAGAGAGGCTGTCCTGTCACCCGGCGCACGCGACGGATGAACTTCTCCACGCCGGTGGGGAGGTGGGCGCGAGCACCCGTTACCCCGGTCACGCTGTGCAGCACACGGTGGGTATGTGCATTAAAAAAACGATGGTGCGGGCACGATTCAACCTCATCGTCTCGACAGGGGTCGGTGGGCCGGCGACCAGCGCCACTTAGTTCGGGCAAGTTCGAGCGGGAGTCGGACTGCTTACATCCAAGTCCATGCACACCATCATTATCTCATCACAGTATCTCTCAAGGTACTTGCCCTGAAAATATCTTGTCCATGTCACTACGGCACTCCTGATAGACAAATATGTGGGCTCGGACTGCACAAAAGATTATATTTCTCACCATCTCGAGCACACCGGCGACCTAAAGTTCCGCAAGAAGAAGAGGTTTCAGCCCCTCTAGCTTGCTCAGGTCAGCCCCGGCCATTGCTCGTCGTGTGTGGGTTGGCCGCGGCGTTTTGCTCCACGCTGCGCAACGCATGTCGGCTCCGACAACAGGGTGCGCTACATAGCTGGTGCGGGAAGAGCTTATTTGGTGCTTGCTTGACACAGTAGACGAAGGAGTCGGTGGCGGAAGCGACGAAAGGAAGACGATTATCGGTGGTCGTGGGCGTCACGAGAGGGATGAACGACAGGTGGTGCTTGTAGCACTTCGAGCTGAAGTTGTGCGCGTCGTCGGGAGGCAGGTCAATTGCCAGGAAGCCGTCAACGCCTGGTTCAACAAGCAAAGCAAAATGAAAATTGCGCGGAAAGCTTGGATTAAAGCGCCTCAACGAGTGACGACATAATTACGGCTTTCGGAATCACCTTCGGGTCAGCCTTTGATCAGCAACCCAAAGAGCACTGCTGTAGTAGGGTTGCCCACCCACGGCGGGCAGAGCAAAAGGCGCCTGGGTGTTTTCCATGTGAAACCATTGGTCGTAGACATTCGCACATACACCAATTTGGACGGACGGCTGGACATGTGTTCCTTGGAAAAACTGAAAATTCATGAGTATTGGCCGAAGCGCGAGGCGAAAATCCCGGCCGACAGGTTTCTCCAGGTTGTCTCCCCCCCCCCCCCTCCCCTCTCGAGCTGAAGACAAATTCAGGACCAGGGACATTGGCCTTCGAGAACGTAGACGAAGAAGAATTAGGAAGGTGGACGACGAAGACGACAAGCTCGATGTGAATGCGGCCCTGGGTGCGAAGATCATGTTCATGTGGTTGCGGAGGGTCTGTTGTACAAGAAGGAGAGGGAAGTGTACCTGAGTGAGCTGGAAAGAGTAGAAGGAAGGTACAGGGAGATGTTTGAGGCATGGAATGGCCTGGAGAAGACGGTAGCTGTACTGGGGCATCGGAAGTGGCTTGAAAAGGCGGGAAATAATTTCCATCGGATAGTGTAGGTAAGGCAACATTGAGCCCCGTTTGGCAAAGTACTGTCGGAAGTAACGATTGGCCTCGGTAATCGGTCCTGTGGGAAGAAAGCTCCGTCCTTTCGAGGACGCGTGGTCAATGGTCTAACCCGCTAAGGCATGCAGAACACTAGAGTACGCCCCCCTTTCGCTCATCGTCTCACCGTTCCGATGAGCTTGTGGGCGAGCTTGTTCAAGCCATAGGCTAGGAACGGGTTAAGATATCCCATGAGGACCACGACGATCGTCAAGCCCTTCGCGCGAGCATCCCTGCTATTTCGAGACATTCCGTTAGGGTGACGCCGTTCTGCAAGGCCACCTGCCAGGGAAAAACAAGTTTATGAGAAATCTTGGGCGGAATGAACATGAGAAGCTTTCCAGGAATCAAGTTGCACTGGACGAGTACGTGCGTGCTGTCATTTGTGCATGTTTCGTCACGTTTCAAGATCGACCTCCAGCCTTTCACTACAGAAGGGTGCCGCTGACCGGCAGAAGCTTGGATGTTGTTGTACAAGACGTGGAACACCAGAAACAAGCTGAAGTAACAGAAATTCCTATGTGCTTTCCCAACGCTTTCACATGACCATCAACAGTCAGTGCGTTGCCATCTTCCGTTGAATGTATTAACCACCAACAGGTGATACCAAGTCCCAGAAACCACGTCGTGAAGCAAACGGGGCGATAAAATCTGACCCGACACATGCACCTGTTTGGTGGCTTGAATGGTTGGCCCGCCTGCTTGAGGGTCGCCGAAAGGGACTCCCAGTTCCACGACGTCAACTCCCCCCTCCTGCAGGCCAACACCATGAAAGCAATGGAAGTCAGTTGCGGTGCGCTGCAGTCTAAGACAACAACTGTGGCGGCAGTGGTGTCGGCGTCGGTAGGTGGAGGGTTTCATCTACGTCGTAGTTTGTCTCAGCCTGCTATTTGGTCGTCGCTGCCATATTCAGTGAACATCATTGACGAAAGCGCGCGATGGCCGCCTCCTACCAAACCCTCCCACCAGCGCCTCCCACCAACGCCTCCTCCTGCCAACCCCAACTACCAACAGTTCTACTTAAGCCGGGAACACGCAAACAACTGCGAAACTCGGACGCATCGAGCGTCAAGATCAGCTGGTAGAGGGTATCTAGGTGGTACGCTGGCACCGCGGCAGCCTGCCCCTACCAATAAACACCTCTTTCATCACGGGCTCTCCTACCTGTAGTGCCAACAAGAGTTCCACTGTGTCTGTCTTTTTGGGGTACCCAGCGGTTAGGTACGCAATGAAGGCTGCCTCTTGGGTTTCGCCATCTTGTCTCCGGAACACCTTGGCCAGACGAGGATTGACGCTTCTGGTGCTGAAAATGTTATATACGACACCGGTGTCGTATATAACACTACCGTTCTGGTGCGTAAGTAGGCGCCGCCACTATTATTACCGACACGTAGCAGTCAGTAGTCGTGATTGAGGGAAACATTTTCCAGTCATGAACGGGATGAGAGCACAATGTACGTGAGTTGTTGGTCAGAATTCATGAAGCAGGAGCTTCGGGATGAGCTTGGTAGCAAACCTTCTTTGGGGAACTAGTGCTACCTTGATCCCTTGGCTGCTTCGACAATATTCTGTGTCATTCTCTGCGTGTTACATAAAGCATGCCGTTCTACCCACGGTCGTCCCCCTTGGTAATGTTGATTGGCCCCAAGACTAGTGCTGCTGGATGAGCACGGCTGACCCGGTTGACAAACGTGAAGAGATGGTTAAGACGTTTTATTGGTTGTCCTTGTAGACACAACCCACGGAAGAGAGTGAGCACAGGGTGCATCACAAACACCGAGGCACTCGTGCAACAGCCGCAAGAAATTCCCCGCAGAAAAGACGCATTCGGAACTCGGAACACGCGACAGCGGAACACGTGACAACTTGTCAAAGATATGATCGGAGATACCCCGAAGATCCAAGATCGGTGAACAGCCACTACTTGCGCACTTGCATGTAGCTCAAAACCACGCATGAGTATCGCCACAGTAGCCTTCGTAAGGATGGCATAATCCACCTCACGAACAGGTAATCGGCTATAAAACCAGTCACGCTCAAGCCGTGGACGGCGACGACCGTGCTATCAGATACTCGCACCTCGTTACGGGGAAGGGCGGCACCGGCTCGCCGACCGCGGCTGCTTCTAGATCTGACACCATCCGAGCGTTCTTACTCAAGCTAGATAGGTGTGGAAACTTGGCCGGCGGCTAGCGAGCTTGCGCGCACCCTCCTGCTGTTGTGCCAGCCCACTCCTGCGCGTGCAAGAAGACGCTGTTGCTGTCGTGAGTGCTCTTTTGGAGGCGGCTCGAATGCGTGTGCTGCTGTCGGTTCCGGATCGGGGGGATGGGAGCGAGAGAGAAAGAATTGCTGGGCGCATGGTATAGGAGTGTTTCTCCGGGGAACCGGTTTACTACGGAGTGAATATTATGGACGCACGGGAGGCGTGCTTAGGATGTGTCTTATCGACAGAATCAAGATCAGAAATCGAAATCAAAAATCAGTT